AACAAACCCAAATTCGGTTCCGGGAGGTGTCAGGGTCCAATTTTATGATTGATATGTAATTAGGGACCAACAAGCTCCCAAAGAATGCAGGAAAATATTTTTTCCCCAAAAAAATAAAAAGTCATGCCATAGAGGGTTAATTAACACAAAGCTTTAGCCTGTTATAGCCGCCGGAGAGAAACTTGATGTGTGAATCAAACATAAACTGGAGATGCGCTTTTATTTTGAAAAGAGAGCGCCATAACTTGTGCTGTCGCGCACATTAAAATTGAGTGCAGGCTGGCATTACTGCCATTTCCGAAGAGACGGCTATCCCACTGATAGATGGGGTTTCCGATGCTGGCTGTCGGCTTCTAAACACTTCTGATAATGCTGACATTACTGTAGGAGCGCTAACGATGTCATTTAAAATATTAGTTGCCTCTGTTAGTCGCTGCCGCTCAGCTATTTTTCTGTCCGTGAAGACCCGCCTACTCCTGCCTGGGGTCCAATCAGAAACTGAAATTTTAAGTTAACTTCCGTTGCAATCAAACTTTGTCAGAGAGTTTGATAGTACGTGTAAGAGAGTTTGACTGTGAATGTAAAAGAGTTTGATAGTACGTGTAAGAGAGTTTGACTGTGAGTGTAAGAGAGTTTGATAGTATGTGTAAGAGAGTTTGTAAGTTTTGGCCCATGGGGCCTCTCATAAGAGACCGTGATCGGCGATCACAGATCATACACTTTTTCACAGAAATCGGCCGATTATGATCGGTGGCCGATTGATCGGCACACCTCTAGTCCCTGGTAGCCAAGGGCCTCACAGGTCATTTCTAATGGCTTTTATCGCCAAGTATCAAAATTAAGGGAGCTGAATACAAATACAAATTCAAATACAATATAATATTTGAAGATATTAAAGTGATTGCTGTCAGTTATATTGCAGTATATTACTGTAAAATTGTTCATGTATGGATATGCTCACCTCTGAGCTTGTATGTTTTCCATATGTCCCATTAGCCACATTTCAGCATGTCAGCCATTTTCAACATGGCTGCCGTTTTTGAGCCTTTTACACCAATTATTGCCATATAATGTCACCAATTTTAATAACTTCATCCTATTTATGCAACTTTAAATTAATAATATTTTACAAGTAAATCAGACACCAAAACTGAATCTGAGGACTTTGAAGATGAGAGTAACAGTTTTGTCAACTGGAAGGAGGTAAAGATTGTAACACTGAGTTTGTCTTTGCAGTCTTCTTAATGGTTAGTGTTATCTTCTGTTAATTTTTAAAATCTGTTTTGCGGTTTAGTTAGCTTCCACCAGTGTTTTTGTGTTTAATGTTAGCTTACGCTAGCTTTTTTATGTGTAGCAGTTGAGCATTAGGTTTTGCTATTTTTAAAATGCATTTAGCAGTTTAGCATAATTTTAACCATGGAAACCAGGAAAGGAAACAGAGAAGTGAGGAAAAATGTATGATTTCTATGGTTCAACATATGTAGGCTGTGGTTTGACCACAAACACATTAATTTCATTTCCAATGTTAGTGCAAAAACAAATTTTCCTGGTCAGTAAATATAATATTTAAATTATGTGTGACGTGAAACTGAAAATATTCATTTTTGATAAATATTTGCAAATTCAGAACAAAAATAAATTTTCTTTTACGACCACAGCGGCCATCTTGAATTTTTCAGTGGCTGTCTCTTTTTTTGGAGCCCCTAAAAAACTGGACCAAGTTAAGTTCTTGTATCTATCTGCATATGAAAGATTTTGCTGAATTATTCAATTATCTGCTGCACTATTGTGTAAATCACTATACTTCCTCTCCTCTAGAGGATACAGTAGTTCAAGTCAAGGCGACCGACGCAGACGACCCAAACACAGACAACGGACAAGTCAGGTACACTCTGCTCAATGGCCGGACCTCTGATTTATTTGAAATCAACTATGAAACAGGTAGGCACCTGCAGCACTATAACATTTTCTCCATGCTAAATTTAATTTTTTTTTTTTTTAACAGCTGTAAGACTGTGCTTGAAAATGAGTCAGAGCTGACATCAAAGATAACACCTCGCCTGTGTCTTGGCAGGTGTGATCACCTCTAAGGTAAGCAGCCTGGACCGGGAGACAAAGAGTCAATACGTGGTGGTGGTCCGGGCTCAGGACATGAAAGGAAGGGAGTCTGGCTGCATTGCCACCACCTCAGTGGCCATCACCATCACTGACGCCAATGACAACATAGCGTCTTTTACCAAAAGTAAGCAACAGTCAGCTAATTCTTTAGCAAACATATATATATATATATATATATATATATATATATATATATATATATATATATATTTATTTTTTTTTTTTTTTTTTTTACTTTAAGAAATTCACAGAACCAATACATGCAACTCTCCCATATCTACATAAATAATCTCAGTATATCATCTATTTATACATGTATGCATAAATAGATTATATATATATATATATATATATATATATATATATATATATATATATATATATATATATATATAGTGTTTTT